AAATTGTGGGCAGTTCGAAAAAAAAAACAAAAACTAAACTAAACGATTTTCTAAAGTGGGACACTGAAAAAATATTACGAAAAACGTTATGTATTATTATTATTATTATTATTTAGTACAAATCAGCTCCCTCTCTCCCCTCCTTCGCATAAAACTATTCACTACCGTAAAGCTCAAATTTCTTTTTTTTTTTTAAACAACAACAACAAAAATGTTTATGTTATAAACTCAATAAACAAACACGATTGAAAACAAAAACAAAAAAATTTAAATTTGGGTTGTTGACTCAAGAAGGTTTTTTTTTAATTCAACAACAAAACATTCGGTTTTGTTATGTTTTACCATCATCATCATCACCAAGACAATTGTTAATAATAATAAACAACAGGTAAAAAAAAAAAAAAACGTCATCATCGTGATACCCTTTGGCTATTAGCAAACATCGGTCATTGGTACTAGCACTGCTACTACTAGGAAACACGGTTCAGGTACCAAATACCAAACACTAATTAGTCATTAGTCATATATACCATCTAATCTCGATCCATCATTCTCATCAAAATATAATTTCATAACAAAAAAAGTTTTTGTTTGCGATGAATGACCGATCGATTATTGTTGTTTGTTGTTGTTTGTAAAAAAACAACAAATCGAATTAACCATAGCAAAAACTAAACATTTCTTCCTAAACACTCAAAACCTTGATATTATGCGTAAACCTAAAAAATTTTTTTTTTTATTTTGGCTACGGTTGAATAGTAGAAAGCTTTAAAAATGGTCACGAAATAAAAAAAAAAGCTTTTAAAGTTGGCTTATATATTAATCAGGTGAACGTACTTTTAAATTGCGTGTTTGTTAGCTTGTTTGTTTGTTTGTGTCCCAAACGGTTTTCGCGTCCTTCAATTAACCATTGGATGAAGTTCAATGGAATAGTTTATAAAAAGTAAAATTTCTCATTAATTAAAATTAATAATATTAACACGAACAAACACACAACAAACAAATTTCAATATTAAAAAAAAATTAATTCTTTACTTACATTTTCTTATCAAATTATTGTAAAAAAAAAAAAAGCAGCAGAAGACAAAAATTTATTGTAATCTTTTGTTAATTTATTTTCTCTCTCTCTCACTCTCTCTCTACTGATTCCCTAGATTTATTTTTATATATTAAAAACTAATTTTAAAAATAATATAAAAATGCAAATGAAAATTTGCATCCTTGCTCGAATCGAACAAACAAACAAACAAACAAACAACCGTTTTATATTGGCATTAAAATCCGACTAATTTTTTTGGTTATTACAACAGGAAAAATAGAAAACGAACGAACGAACGCTTTAATTGTGACGCACAATGAATTATTTGTTAATAATTAAACCAACGTTCGACCATAGATAATTTTCTATTATTATTATTATTATTATTTTTTAATATGGAGTCAAGCCAATCATATCGTTGTATAATCCATCTCTACATTATTACGAAATTATATTATATATATATGAAAGGATTAGAAAATTGACAGGTTTTGTCGTCGGTTAGGTTCACGATGATGACAAAGCATTTGAGCTACGATTTAAATAATAATAATAATAACAACATACGTTAGGCTTTGTATTTTCAGGTATGCAAATTTTAAGATCGTGAGATATATAAAAAAAAAAAAACGAATATAAAAAGGTACGTATACAATCAGGTAGAATAAAAAAAAGCTGATTTAATCTTATAATTTATTTAAATAATGATAATAATGATAATAAAAAAGAAACTCGAAGGATTCTTAATAGAGTAAATGAGGAAAGAAAAAAAAAAAAAAAAAAATTACGTTGAATGTCCTCGAGGAGTCAACCTTCGGGGGCTACCCACGGTTAATATAGATGCGAAATCACAGTTACTACCAACTACAATCCCACATAATATAAAGAAAAGGCCTTTACTCTTTCTAAGGTCGTTTCGATAATAAAAAAAAAATTTTTTCTGCGTAGGTTTTAAGGTACTCGATTACTCATTAATAAACTCTTTTCCTAACAACAACAAAAATCTACATCCTTGCACGCACGCACGCACGCACGCACGCACACACTCTCTTTCTTTCTTTCTTTCTTCTTTGATTTATTTTGTAATGTTTTGCCATCTTCTTTCTTAACAACTTCCTTGCCGTCACACACTTTTCAAAATAAATTGTCGTCATGTTTTTGTCCGCCATGATAGACTCAAGTACGAACGCAAGGGGTAACGTAACGTAATTTACCAAACCGCTTTTTTTTTTCTTATTCGCAATTCTTTGATTTCATAAAACGAAACCCACGTTTATTCCCACCCCGCCCTCGCCCCCTGGCCCCCCGCGGTCCTCTTGACCCAATCATCATTTTTATTACTCAAAATGGTTTTTTTGTACCGTTAATTTTTTCGTTTTTACCATTTTAAAAAAATTAAATATCAATAAAAATCGAGAGAGAGTGAGGGGGGGGGGGTACACACACACACACACACACCGTAAGGGATTTACGAGGGGCCTAAAATGCGTGGTGCGTGTGCGTATATTTTCTTTTATTATTATTATTATTACAACATCTCATAAATTTCCTTCTTTCTTTCTTTAAAGGTAATAAATTTTTTTTTTTCTTTGTTTCGACAACTTTCTTCTCTTACGAACAAAAAAAAAAAAAAAAAAATAAAGTTTTACGATACGATCTTGGGGAGCTTGAAACGAAAAAAAATTCTAAAATCAATTTTTTATCTAATTCACGTAACGATAATTCGACGATAATAATAATAATAATAAAACGAAAATTTGCGCGCGGTTTTGGCACCTCGATCCCCCCAAAGTCCTTCAACTCTATTTTCACAAACGTATTCAAGTTGTTGAACTTGAAAAAAAAAAAAAACTTAAAAGTTTTTTTTTTTTTTTTTTTTTTTTTTACTTAATCACCTCAAACTATTAATAATAATAATAATAGGTAATTATTTGTTTTAAAAAAGGTACGCGTGTGTGATGATGATGATGATGATGATGGTACACCATTATTATTATTATTATTAAAGAGCGGCGGGAAAATAATGAACTCTTTAATCAAAAATATAAATAAATAAGAAAATAAAATAGAATATGAAGGAATTTAATTATATATTAAATGTGTACGCGTTATTATTATTATTATTATTATTATTATTATTATTATTATTATTATTATTATTATTATTATTATTATTATTATTATTATTAATAGGTTATTCTCGAAAGTTTTAATTACGTGTGACGAATCGCGAAAAAAAAAATTTTAAAAAAAAGTTTTTTCTTTTAAAATCCCAAATAATTTTTTTCTTTCTTTTTGAAAAGTATATGTTATTATTATTATTTGTAGGTTAATTGTTTAAGGCCATTTTTTTTCGGGGTAGGGGGGGGGGAAGAGGGAGGCTTTTAACTACTACTACTACTACTAAAAAAAAATAATGACCGCTAATTGTTTGTTAACATTTAATTTTTTAATAATAATAATAATAATAATAAATAGTTTTGCGTTAACATATTTAAAGAGAGTATGTGCGTGCGTTTTGGACTTTCTTGTAAAACCCCTTCCCCCTCCTCCCCCACCGTGTCCGTGAAAAGTAGAATGTTATCAATCATAATTTTACATTGTCTATTTAATTATTATTATTATTATTGTTGGGAGAATGTCGAAAACGAGAAATGATTTGATATATCGAACGTTAACGTTTGTCGTGCGGCAGGTATGAAGGGAATGGGGGGGAGGAGGAGGAGGAGGAGGCGGGAGGGAAGGGGGTAATTAAAACAACTTTTAAAAGTTTACGAAAAAGGCGTTACGACGAGCATTAAAAAAAAAACGAGTCGAAATTCGATTTAAAAAAAAGCTCAAAGTATCATTATCATTATTATTATTATTATTAATTTATATAGAAATATTATTAAAGCGTACGATTTCGTTTTACTGTTAATGGAATAATGCCTAATATAGAACTAATAATAAAATTTTATTTTTTTTTTTTCTAAAAAAAAAAACTTGTTGGAAATTTATTAAAATTTACTGTTAATTGAAAATGTACTGTTAAAAAGATGAGAGAGAGAGAGAGAGAGAGAAACTTTTAACAAAAGACAAGGGCAAATGGAGAAAAACACCCACCATCGCGGAAATACAAAAAAAAAAAAAAAAGAAAATTGTTTTTCTTTTCTCTAAAATGTCGTTTCGTTTCTTAAATTTTGTCCGCCATGTTAATTTAGAATAATAATAATAATAATAATAATGGGTAAGTTGTTAACGTTTTAATATATATACATACTATCTTATCATTATCAGTTCTTTGTTTTTGTATCATTGATTAAACGTGCACAAAATGAATTTTTTACTTAATTGGAATGCCATCTACCGTCGCTTACACTTACTATTATCCAAAACACGAGCAAAACAGTTTATGATTTTAAAAATTAATAGATGGCAGCACGTATCAAAACAAAACAATGAATGATTCAGGTCATTGCTCTTACGTCATTTTACAACATAGAAACAGCTTGTTTGTCTCTCTTTCTCTCTCTCTCCCTCCCTCTCTCTTTCTCTTTCTCTCTCATTGCGCTTGTTTAAATACAATTGGTAAAAAAAAAAAAAAAATTTAAGTTATAAAATAAGATTCAAATCAAAATCGTATTTGTTAATCGATGTCTGTCTGTGATATAACAGTTATTTATTATTATTATTTTATCGATGATAAATCAAATTATGATACACACGACGCCATAGTCTTACGTGTCTATACATTTTTAAAAATAGATTACGTTCGAAAGAAATATTAATCATATATGTTTAAACGAAAAAAAAAAAAAAAAACGTGAGAAAAAAAACGTTTTAGTATAAATAAGAGTAAAAATTAAAAAAACCTTTATGACGTCAGCGGACACATTAATGCGCCATTTAAAAAGAAATTTTTAACTTTCGTCATTCAGTAGTGAAATTATAAGAAAAATAATAATAATAATAATAAAACTTACCGTATTATTAGAATTAAGCCTGTCCTCGATGGTTGAATTGATTTGTTGACGGCAGTGTCCGCAAGTGCAATCTCTGTATCCGAGAAGTCTAAGAGGGGGCGGAGGAGGAGGAACGGGAGGAGGAAGGGGAGATGAAAGTTCTAGAGAATCTGATGAACTTGTGGTCGTTCCGCTGTGATCTCTTCGATTGTTAGTCGGTCTCGGAAGGAAATCATCAAGCAAATAAAATGATTGAGCTCGGGGAGAGGGAGCCTGAGGAACATTGTTGCTGGAACTTGGTAATCTGAGAAGAGCACCGAGACTCCTCCATTTCCTTTGCTGCGGAGAATCTTCGACGTCTTCCAAAATAATATTTTCGTTTCTAGTCCTCCGCGGTTTGTTCGACCACCACGCCGTCGGACTCAATATGCTAACGCTTTTCTTAACTAAATTATCTCGAAACGATTCTTTTTTAACGGGAACCCGATACTCAATTCCGGATGTTTCTTCCTCCAACATGACACCGTATTTCACGGAAAGTCGAACGGCTGGAGGAGCTCGTACGAAACCATAATCCGTATCCGAAGGAAGTGTGGCCGTACGTGAACGATGAGGACGATCGCGATTTCCTCCTCTTGGTAAACACGAAAAAGATACGGAATGACGCAAAGGTGGGGCTCCAGAAGACACGTATCCACCACCACCACCACCACCGCCACCTCCACGTCCGGATAATGTCGATGTCATCCTTTGATCTGGAGGGTCGTGCATCAAACAAAAACCACTTTACTCCATTTTATTATCGAATTTTGTATTTTTATTACCTGGAAAAAAAAAAAAAAGAAAACAAGAGTTAACGATTGCAATTTTTTAACAAGAAAATTCAAATAAAAAAAAAACAAAAACATAAAATAATTCATTCACGCATTTAAATAATTTAATTAATAATTTTAATAATATCACATAAACTAACGTATAATATGTCCTTGTAAAAATTTTTTTACATAATAATAATAATAAAATATATATATATATTTATGTAATAAAAAATTTTATTACGTACAAACAATTTTGTCGCACGTTTTATATTTTCAAAATAAAATTTTAAAATAATAATAATAATAATAATAAACTTGAAATCGTGTAAAAACTATTTGAAACAATCAATCAATCAATCGACTATTACAAAACTTTTTTATTTAAACAATAAAAAAAACATTTGGGGGAGGGGGAAGGGGGGTTTTTTTCCGATCAAATACATCTGCATCATGCACGACTATTAATTTTTTTTTTTTTCAGGCTCATAATAATTTTAGACCTTTGAATAAAAAAAAAAAACAATTTTCTTTTGAAAAAAAAAAAAAAATTAATGACCTGGTAATTATACAAAAGCAGACGACGATGATTTTCTAAACACTATTATTTAAAACTTTTTATTACGAGTCACGATGCAGTAGAAAAAAAAAAATTGATTGAACGACGAAAAAAAAAAAAACTATAGACAAAAGGTTTATTATTATTATTATTTTAATTTTCGTCTTGTTGCCGTCACATGTTAATCTTATTAAAATAAAAACCGCATCTTTTATTATTATTTTTTTTTTTTTCGTATATTTATTTATAGCCGCGCGTGTAAATCTATTAAAAACGAAAAGAGGATAAATTATTAGTTTGTCTCGTCTTTTTCAAATCAGGTTTTTTCTTTTTTTTGTAAACGAAAGGAAAAGTGAACTCATTCTAAATTAAAAAAAAAAAAAAAATCTATTTTTATATTTTTTTTTTTACAAACAACTCTTTCTTTCTTTCTTTCTTCTATTATTATTATTATTATTATTATTTAAAAAAAGAAAACAATGGTTGATTTAATCAGCGTGTGTTATAATATTTAAAAACTTTTCCTAATTCCACGTTTTTTCAAACTTTCAGTTAAAATTAATGACACGTCAATTTATCGATATAAAAACAAAAATCCGCCATTTTCTTTTTTTTTTGAATTTATTGTTTTAAAATAATTTAATTATTTTATTACTCTTCTTAATTTTTTCTTTTTTCCCTCCTCCCAAGAGGACAAAAACACGAAAAAATTTCAAGGTTAATTTTTTTTTTTTTTTTTACGTTAAATATAATTTACAGATAACTAAGTTTAATAATAATAATAATAATAATAATAATATTAAAAAAAAAAAAAATGGCGACACTGCGTAACCCTGACATTTAATGACCGGCTTTGCGGGTTTTTATAAAAAAAAAATCCGATTAAGATTTTTTTATGGTCGAATCATAAGAGGAAGGTATATTTAAAAAAAAAAAAAAAAAAAAAAAAAGTTGGACACCGACAGGAAATGATTAAAAATATTTTTTTTTACGAGTCATTTCCAGCGAGAAAATTATTCAGAAAAAGAAAAGTGGAATTAATAAGAATTGCATTATTATTATTACGTAATCTGATTACACTTTTTATCTCTCTCTCTCTCTCTAAGAAAATAAAAAAGCTCTGAAACTTTCACTTTTACTTGTAAAAAAATTCACTTCCCCCTCCCCCCCTCCTCCTGCCCCATCTACTTCGTCTCTCTCCCTCCCACCACCAACCCCCCCCCCTCCAAAAAAAAAACGTTGAAAATCATGAGAAATAATCAACATGTGGCTAAATATATACTAAACACACGTGAAAAACCACAAAAACCTAAAAAAAAAAAAAAACCTGACGGTTGCCTCAGAAAATAAACCTTTTATTTTCATTCTCCCCAAACTTAATTTCGACACAAGGTGTGTGTATAACATTATCATCATCATCATTATTATTATCATCTTTTACTCTTAATAAAATCAACAGATATTTTCTTAATGGATTTTTTTCCTTTCAGGTATATTCACGTTCTCAATGAATTTTAATTTAAGGTAAATAATTTTATTATAAAATTTTAATTAATAAGTGTTACCAACATTTCGGAGTGAAAAAAAAAAAATTTTTTTATTCTCCCGCTCCCCCCAGAAAAAGTTTTGTGACTGTTTAAAATAACCGTCGTTTGCATGTGTTTAAAAAATTTTTTCAAACTCAAAAAAATTCCATTTTTCATATTTCTATTTTTCCCCCCCATTCTTCACCGCAGCATACTTCCAAATTGAAAAAAAAAAAAAAACAAATAAACAAAAGATGTTGGCATACCGTAAAGTGGGGGGACGAGAGAGAGAGAGAGACAACCGACCGTGTGGCATCATCATATCACTCCAGACGATTCAAAAAAAAAAAAAAAAATGTTACGTCTCAAACGCCATCTTTTTTGTTATATACAAGTTTAAACGTTTTTTTTTTTTTTAATTCTCGATAAAATTTAATAAAGTGGGGGGAAGGGGGCGGGGGAAATATTAATTATTTCAAATCGAATAAAAAAATTTATGTAAAAATAAATAAATAAATAAATAAATTATTACTTAATACACAAACGTGAAACTTGTTGTTGGTTGTTGTTGTGTTAAACATTAATATGAGAACAAAGGAATTTTTTAGTTAGGGGATGGATGTAAGATGATAGATGAAATTATTATTAAATTATTAACTGATTTCAGGTGTGGGAGAAAAAAACCTGAGAATATCTCATTCTTTGTAAGAATTTTTTTTTTTTCTATTCGCCTAAAATAAATTAAAGGTTTGGAGAACCAACAAAAAAAAAAAAAAAAATTGATCTTTATCATCGCATTAAACATTTTTTTTTTTTTTCTCCTTATAATCTTATTCTTTTCTTTGTCATATTTAGACACGGCTGAACAATTTATCGTGAAAAAAATTATTGTCCTGGATCAAATTATTTTATCCTTTCTTTCCTTTGTTTGTTTGTTTCGGTAAATGAATTTTATCGATAAATAAAAATTTTTTATTAAAACTCTGCGTGTTACATAGAAATGTTTCAAAAGAGGTTATGAAAAGTCTGTCTCGTGAATGATTTCATAAAAACGTTGGGTGGTGAGTGGTGTTCATTCGTGTGAAGAGCCTAAAAAACCAGGTTCCACCACTCGCGGAACAACTTTTTACCTAAATATATATATATGAATACGTTATCTCTCTCTCTCTCTCTCGTTTTCTCTCTCCCTTCTTCCTATTTTACCGGAAGTTGTATTAAAAAACAATTACAAGTACCCATGCGTGTAATTAATAGTTCGATATTTGACCAAGGAAAATGGTGAACCTTTTTAGTAAATACATAGGCGGTGCCTTTTTTATTGCGTGCAAAGATTTAATACTCTTAATATCTTTTATTGGACCTTGCATCATTCGAAAGGTTGTGCAATGACCTCGTTCGTCATCTCGTTTTTTTTTTACATCTCTCTCTCTCTCTCTCTCTTTGGCCTTTACCACTTTTTTTTACACTCGGATGACTCCTCCTCGTTTTAATTGTTTCTTTCTAATGTTGTTGTCAACTTCCGATTTGTCTATAACCACGTCGCCCCCACCCCCCCCCCATTTAATTATTTTCATATTCACAAATCTTTTTAAAAGTCTACCAACATTTAAAAAAAAAAAAAATTATTTTTCCTAACTCGTGTCACAAACACATCAATCACACACATTTTAGAATTTATTTTAATGAGGTCCTCCTCCCTCCCTCCCTCCCTCCCCTCCCTCCTCGTAATCGGTTAATAAATTTGATCGATTTATTTTTAAAATTACGACAAAAATAAAACGTTTTTATATTTCTTTTTTTTTTGTTATTTATGAATTTATTCCCCGTCGCCATTAATTAAACATAAATCTATTTTTGTTAAAAACCCCTTTTGAAAAATTCCAAACAACAACAACAACAAACACGTACCAAATACCAATTATACAATAAAATTCTTTTTAAAAAAAGACGCCATTTAAAAAAAAAAAAAAATCAACTTTCGAACCGGAAAAGGTCGATATTTTACCCGGGATTACCCGGTTAAAGGTCGATTACATCGGTTTTTAATTATTATTATATATATATATATATGTGTACCAGTAGGAAAAGATACAATTATTTAATAATAAAAATCATCATCATCATTATCATTATTACATACACCCAACCCAAAAGAAAAAGAAAACTTTCCAACTTTTCCGAGTACTATAAAATCGATTTTAGAAAGAAAAAAAAAAAATTTTTAGTTAATTACGAAAAAACAAAAAAAAAAAAATTATAATTTTAAATTATTTCTTTGTTATCAGTTTATAAATATATACGACGATAATTTTTAAAACAATCTCTAAGAGAAACAAAGGTTGGTGAACGATACCTTTGAGTCCATTTGCAAATGACCTTTTTCCTTCCATTATTATCATTATTATTTATTCAAAAATCTGACTCATCGGGTTATTTTTTGTTTTTTTGCATGAATGCAATTAGAATTCTACTTTTAAAAACTACGACGATAATAATCTGTTCCATTTCTCACACAAACTCCCCCCCTTCCCCTCCCATCCCCTCCCCGTTTTGCAAAAACTTTAGAAATACGAATAAAAACTAATAATAATAATAATTGTAGAACTAATATTCAATTTAGTCGTTTTTAATAACCGCAACATTACGTTTCCAACTACTACGTGTTATTATTATGAGTCTTTCTTTAGAGAGAGAGAGAGAGAGAGAGAGAGAGAGAGAGAGAGAGAGAGAGAGAGAAAAGATGGAAACGATTAAAGGAAAAAATCATCTTGTAAGAAAATCCCCTACCCTCCCCCTTCCTCCTCCCACCCCCAAAAAAAAAAATAAATAAAAAGAAAGAAAGGAAGGAAGTTTATAATTACAAAGCAATAT